AATATCATAAATTTTTTATGATATTTGTAAATATTTATCTGATCATATGATATTTAAATAAGTATTTTTTTTATATAAATATTAAGATAAAAATAAAGAGATAAAAAAATTTAACCAAAGTTTTATAATCCGAAAACTTTATAAAAGGAGTATAATTGTTTTATTGAAAAAATATTGAAATACTTATGAACTTAGGTTTGAAAAAATAAAATCATAAATTTTGGTTTGAAAAAATAAAATAAAATAAAAAAATTCAATTTTTAAGGATTATTTTGTCAATTAATTTTATTTTTATTATGTTAAAAATAATTAAATAATAAAAAATAAGTTAAAAATTACAATATATATTTTACATTTTCGTATCAATCAAAATATGTTATTTTATCAAAATTCATCAAAACAAATTGAAATTAATGAAAACAACTAGTATTACTTAATACTAAATCTAATATAAAAAATAATCTTTAAATGTACTAGATTTTGATATATCTGGAATGTATCATTTGGTACGATTGGTAATGAAATGAATTTAACAATTATGATTTTTTTTTTTTATTTATTATAAATAATTTTTTTAACTCAAAGCGCAAATATAAAGTTTAACGTTGTATTATTATATGTCCAAGAAAGAAAAAAAATACTAAGCTTTGATTAATTAAATATTAAAAATTAAAAATTATTATTTGTTAATGTTTTTATGATTTTTATGATTTGAATGGGATTTTGAAAGTAAGTGGTTAGAAATGGTAACCATATGGATATTTACTATTTTTTAAATATTTATATTCGAATTTGTTTAAATTTAATATTATTATTCAAATTGAAATTCATCTAAATAATTATTATCTATTTAAATATTCAAATTCGTTTAAATATTTATTTATTTAAATTTTTTATCAAAATATAAATAAATAATAATTTAATTTAAATTTTAAATTCATTCTTAATTAATAATAAATAAAAATTATTTTTTAAGGTCTAAAACCTTTTATAAGTAAAAATTTTATATATTTTATATATATAAATAGATAACAAGGTTAAATATAAATTTGAATATCCTTTATTATTCATTAAAATTTAAATAAATTTAGATATTTAATATTTAAAAGATAATATTTATATATATCTTAAATCTATTACGAATAATAGATTTTTTTATTTAAATTCGTTGTTTATCTATTTATAATTATTTGAATTTAAATCTATTATTTATTTATTTATAATTATTTAAATTCAATAAAAATGAATCAAATAATAATAATATCATTTTATTTATTGTCAATTACCGACCATACTCACAAAGCATGTTGGCAAGCGAGCGTCCAATGAGGCGCTGCTATGACAGCTGCGATCGGCCGCTTTGGAAGTCAACAATTTGGGCCCAAACCTTCATATTGGTTTCATTATAGAAATTGCAGTTGTGGTTGTTGTCTAAGAGTTTCTTTTCTTGTCCCCCAACTGTACCAATTTGCTCCACCGTCAATCTTGACCAAACAACAATGGCAATACGTGCGTCCAGCTTTTCCCTGCAAAATTCTCCCTATCAATTAATATTATTCATCCCATTCTTTTCCCATTCATGCACACGTGTGTGGATTCGAGACAGAGCTATATGAAAGTGATTATCATGCATGTAACCAATCATCTTGGTGCCACTTCTTTTAAATTTTAATTTGGATAAGATCACTCAACATTTTTTTAATAAAAGGTATTGTAATTAAAAAATAAAAATTTTAAATTTTAAATTCATAATTTAAAAATAATTTTATAAACTAATTAAATTAAAATAAATTTTCGATTCGAACTTCAAACTTAATCAATGCATAAAATAAAATTTTTTGATAATCATTTTAAAGCTTAATTAATTTATTATTATGGTATTGGAGAAAAAGATAAAAAATAAATAGGCAACAATTTACATAATTAATTTTTAAATAGTGGGTAATGATTATTTAATTTCATAGATCATTCTTTTAATGTGGGTTTGGAGTCAAATGAAAAGATGAAATAATGATCACCGAGGATTATCTCCATGCACTTTTATTCATTAAAAGTTTTTTTTTTAACTTAAGTTTTTTTTCTCAATTTTTTTCAATAATAATTTTTTTATTTAAAAAAATTCAAATTTTATTTTTGAAATAAAGAATCATTCACTAATTAATTGAATCAAATGTTTCAATAAAACTTAATAATAACTAATTAATTCAGGGGAAAACTTAGATAAAAATTTTTTAAGTGAAATTTATAAAATTTTTTACTAAAAATGATTAAATAAAAATTAAAATCAAAAATCAAAATCGATAAATTAAAAAATCTCATTACATAAATTCAATGTATAAAATTTAAAATAAATTTAATAAATTTAAATATATATTTTTAGATAGATATTTTTACCGTTGAATAAATATTAATCAAATTTAAATTATAAATAATATTTTAAATAATTTTTTTACATATTATTGATCTTCACATTAAACTCTATCAATTATTAATTTAAATTTTTTATTAAAATTTTCATTAAATCATTTTTAAAAAATTTCACAAATATTATTTTAAAAATTTTACGTAAATTTTGTTCATTAATCCAATATTCCATAGGCTTTCTTGAAGTGTGAAAGGTCGATTAGAAGTTGATGTGTACAAAGATTTTTTTTTCCCTCTACTAAAGCCACTATGTTGAAATAAGAGAGTTGGGAGCGGCAGTACCCATAATAACATTAATATCTGAATTCAAGTACATGCATGTCAATGGTGTAGAAAAGAGGTTGAGCTGGGCCTGCCTACCTTCTCTTTCGCCATGAAATCCGCAGCTTGATTTGCTGCCTTGGTTTCATGTTTTAAGGATTGCCCTACAGTGGCTGGATCAAATGTCTTCTTCTTGTACATGCACTTCCCCACTACATCATCAGTCATCAGACGTTTGTCACCTCCCTTACGAAACGTATGGTGGGTCATAAATTTTATGTTTGATTCCCACCATCTATGTAAGTAGACATGAGAAATCATTTTGATGGTATTTCTGGTAAGGTGACTGGATGCTTAGTTGGATGGTTATTGGGAGGTGACATGCAAGGCAGAGAAGGCTAGGGATGTCGGAGATAAGATTTTGAAATGCGCTTCGATATCCAACTCAATTGAGTGAAAGAAAATATCAAAGAGCTTGATATTAAGGAAGAAGAGTTAGAGAGAATGTATTTAATTTTTTTTTTTACTTATGGAAGACAACAGGTCATATAGATAAAGTTTTTATTTATTCTGAATTCGTTCTGATTTTATAAATTTAATATTTGATTTGATTCAATATTAACATATTATTTTTTTATTCGAATCCGATTTGATCTATATATATATATATATATATATATATGTAAATCGACAATCGATTTAATTTGATTTAAAATTAATAAAATATTAATTTTTAAATATAAATATAAAATTAAATATAACATTAAATAAGTAATAAAAAAATAATATATATTGAGTAACAAAAATGCTCAACCCAATCTGAAATCTAATTTTCAAAAAAAAAAAAAATTGATTATATAAGGTTTGATTGAAACCCGTCAGGTACATATACACACACATTGATTTGTCCATTGCATTCATTCCATGCAAGAATTTCATAACAAATAATTTTTATGATAAGATCGTGGAGTAAGTGAATAAAATTGATTGATAAACGCATAGTATGTGTCAGCATGTGCGGTTATTTACGAAACCCTTCATAAGAAGGGAAGAGGAAGGCGGAATTGGGTGAAGGATACAAAACATGGATCTGGAAAAGGGTCATAAAGTCCTTGGCTTCAAAAATAAAACCACAGAATAAAATCCCATTTGGTTGATCAATCGCATCTAAGCTTCTTCAAGATTTCTCAATTAAATTGCATTGCAAATGGACATCCATTGACGATTCAAACTCAAAATTACTTGGTGCTTATAAAAGACTTAACTTTTGAAAGGTTGAAGGGATTGAGTTAACGTGATTAATTGATTTATCCGATATTAATCAAATATTAAACTAATTAAAAGGGTCATTAACTTAATAGCTAACGTATATTGATTTAATAATTAAGATGTTAATCAAATAATTAGATTATAACACAATTAATCAAAATGAATTACTTGTAATTCAATCTTATTTTTTATACTGAATTTATATTAACATAATCAATTGATTTAGCCGATGTTAATCAAGTGTTGAACCAATAAACCAATTAAAGTAGTCATCAACTTAACAATCAACGGATGCTGACTTGACGATTAAAATATTAATCAAACGACTAAATTATAATATCATTGATTAATTCCAAGATGTCAAAGTCATAATGATGTTGTCCATTGTCTCACCAATATAATTGTTGTCATCCTCTACTCGTTCTTATCCTCCGTTTGAGGTTACATATCCCTGATCATTTAAGCTAGCAGCAGGACAAATCAAGAAACTAATACTAACAGGAAATCAAGTAAATCTGATCTCTATCTTTCTGCCAAAACATGATCATTAAAAAACCTTAAGTGATCTTTTGCAGCAATGATGATGATAGATTGAGAAATATGTTGGCAAATTAAATGAGAAGGCAATAACTAAGAACTTTGGCTTGATGGTATATCCACTTATCATCAACAACATTTATGTACAAACAGAATATGAAAGTGAAAGGATGATAAAGAGATGGGATCAGTGGGAGACAAAAAGCAGTTTCAACACTCTGAAACTTGAACAACGATCCCTTGGATAGTGCTCTGAAGATTGTTGTAGCTCAAATTTGTAGTTAATATTAAGCGTAGGTGACCAATTCTTGATCTAATAAAATGTTGTATTCGTATAATGTTTTACACGAAAATCGTGTGTTATAATTTATATTAATATAAAAATATAAAATATAATTTTTTAAAAATAATTTTAAATCATATTATCTATCTTTTATATTTATAATATTTTTGTATCATATTATTGTATTATATCATTATATTATGTTTTAAATTATCAAATCTAACCTTATGGTAGTAAGAGCCTGATGAAATCATTAAGTCCTTTACTTAAAAAAATAAGTGAGCTCAGCAGCACTGCATCAGAGATCCACCATTTTTACACTTTCTAGTTGCCACCGAAGCAACCTGCATGGTGACAAGGAAACCGCTACAAAGTCCTGGATGTCCATTAAAGTATTTGTTTTAGACCATCATCCCATGAAACTGTTCAAAAAAAATTGACCACCATGAGTCAAGTCTTTGCTTCAGGGTTTGCTCGTGGCTAACAAAGCATTGCATCGAGCAAATGCTGAGATAAGCTTCCACAAAAGAAGAACACCTGCCATTTGGGACAATTTCTTGAACAGAGCTGTCAACATGTGCTTTCGAACTCATAAAAGGTTTGGTTCAACTTCGATCTTAGGGTGTGTCCCATTGTAAATCTAAGAAATTATTATTGGAGATTCCACAATCCACAGCTCTGCCCCATGGCCAAGTTTGAGACAAAGCATCATTGCAGCTTCATCCAATTAGTCCTCAGTTTGAAATTATCAACTGTAGCCAAAAGGGCAATATAAACATTTGCATTGAATCCCAAAAAAATGAGAAAAAGAAGTCAATTGAGCGGTTGTAGTGGCTCAACTGATTCTCTTTTACTTTGTTACAATTCAAGTTTAATAATCAGATTGAAATTTGATCTCACCAAATTTATAAAATAAAAAAAGAAAAAGAAAAAGATATATCCCCATCAACCTAAACAGACATGGGAGTTGTTAAGACAAAGGAACTACAACAATACAACAATAAAACCTGTAATACACATAATGCCATCTCATTGCATTGCAAGGTTTCATTTAGATGGTTAGTGAAAAGGATTCCCACCATGCCATCGTGTCGATTTGAGACTAAATCCTTCCAATCTCAAAACAATGCGATGGCGCAATGGCATGGTAGGACTCCCTTCTGACCAGCTATCCAAATGAAGCACAAACCAACAGAAACTCCACCTAAGATGGATGTTCCTGAACCATTCATACAGAGCAAAAACATTAAGTAACAAGTTTCCCCAAATGGTTGTCATTAAAACAATCCTAAAAGTGACATTTGCAGCATTCAAAGTTAACTGATGGAAGTCCTGTTTAAGTAGCTGGAGCTGCAGTAATTAAGCCAGATCTTACATTTTGCTGGCATTTAGACTTTCAAGTTCCAATAGAGGCATACAATGAAATGAGAGAAAAAGAAGCATTTTTCTTATCAATGAATAAAAAAGAGGAGCAACAAGTGTCCAGGTCCAACCATTTTCAAACACTTCTACGACTCATTTTACGCTGCCATGCGAACAACATGAAAAATTGTATGCATCAACAATACGAGTTTATCACATACAGCACAAAGCTTGTTTAACTGCTAAAACAACAGGTAACTGTACGACTTGGGGAATGTACTTCTTAGTCATGGAAACCTATCCAAATGAAACTAAATTACAGATGTCAAAATCTCAAAATGCTAAAAAGTTGGTGATTAAGACAATTCATAGGCACACTTTAGCATTCTACTACTTCTTTTCATCAGAATATGTTTCCGAACAGTTAAAAGAAGGGAAAAAGTGGCACACCAGGCTTATACACACGCACAAACACGTAGAGTCGTGGACAGTTTTTATTCACAATTCTAAGAAAATGGGATTTCTTGAGAACTTATTAGTTTAGATTAGGAATCTAAATATGATATGATGTTCAATCTTTGATTAAAGCTCATGATAACAAGGCTAACATTAAAGCAAAAATTCATACCTAAGTTTTGCAGGAACTGATGCTAAGTAATGTTGACTTGTAAGTTCTAAAGAAGAATCTATGTCATGATTTTTCCTTGTCACCGAGTTATAACAGTCAGCAACACGGAATCACTCAGGATACTTTAAACTGAGAGACGGGCCAACATGAGCAAGATACTTTAAACTGAATTATATGCCTAAATAAGAAGCAACTACCATTTATACACAAAATACATGCATCAATAACTATATATAGCTCTCACTTATGCCAGAATCAAGTCATAACTTGAATTTTAATTTAGAACCAAAAAATAATGTTACTTAACAGTAGCAAAAGCAACCATTTAGTTCACATATGTTGAGATTTAATAATGCAAGAGGCCAGTGACAAGAATTGCATCAAACTGATAAAAGTATGAACCAGTTAAGCTTATCTCATTGACCAAGCCAGAAAGGAAACGTGTCAGAAACTCCAAAAGGTTACATACATGTCTGCCACATTTTTTCCTGCACAAAAAGGGCAGTAAAGAACAAAAGGAAAAAGTATTACCTACATTTAGTAGAAGAGTTTTCAACAAGAAACATCGCTTCCTCTTAATTGCTGTATCGCAGAGTAAATTTTCCGTCGATGCCCAACAGCAAATACACCCATCTCCTTGAGATCATCTAGAGTAAGCAGAGGCAGAGTTTCCTCATCAACCTCGTGCATTTCAAATACACTGGCATACCTGCCAAATCCCAGGTCTTCCAACCATCTTCTGACACTAGTTACATCATTACAGGGGTATCTCGTTTGGTCCCATATGTCACGAGATTTAAGAAACACATCATTTCCTTCAAAACAAGCATCCTTCCAAAAACCATCAGTATTTCCTTGTTGCCAATTACCATAACCAGGTTCATCTGCATCATATTCACAAGCATCTTTGCTGGTAGCCGGCATTTCGTGATCTGACATGTCCTGAAAACCATTATCAGGGTAATAATCTGCACAAACATTTGATCCGATTCCCATGAACTCTTTCTCACCAAGCTCCTTTCTATCTTCACTGCTAAATTGAGGGCTAAGTTTAGAACTCCAATTCCAAGCACTGCCAAACGAACAATTATTGCCTTCCCTGCTCCGCCCTCGCCGCTTCATGACCCTACTCTTCCTGGTAATCGTACCAAAATTTAAAGTAGACTTCATCATGTCAATTTCATCAGCACTGATCAAATTAGAACCCAATTTCGACGAATTCAGGTTCTTATTCTCTCTGTTTTGTTGCAATTCAGCTGATATCCTCGAGGAAACACCAGGGTCAGAGATCAAGAAATTTGGAGAGTTTCCTTTACAAAACTCAACAGCAGTAGCAAGTTCATTTTCTTGAGAGTTGAGAAAATCAGGTTTCCATCTTTTATGTACCAAACTTTCGTTATTCTTCTGGGAAAACCCACATGCAAAAGCAGCGGATACGTCTCCTATTTCCCCTAACCTAACATTAGGCCGCCTTTGTCTTTTTGAATTCATGCTTAAAACCAACATTTTACACCAAACCCTACTTTTATCGAACCCTAACAACACACACAAAACCCCCCGCAAAATTAAACCTCAAAATCAACCCAAAAAAATTTTGCAACAAACAAAAAAAACCCAAATAAAAAATCACCTAAAAAAACCATTAATCTACATAAAATAATGTAAAATTCATTAAAACTAGTACAATTTACATCAATATTAAGTAAATAAAAGTACTAGAAATACTAATACAAAGCAGTACTAGATAAAGGATAAAAGTGAAGAAGTGAACCTGGAAAGAGAGTAACAGTGGCAGAAGAGTTCAAACTTTTGCATGTCTCCACAATTAGAAAATTTGCAGGGTTGCTGAAGTGGGCAGCTTAAAACAACAAATATATTTACTTTTATATATTAAAAAAAAAAAAAGGAAAGTTGAAGTTTGTTAGTTTTGGTTTCTTTTTATAAACGAGCAAAGCAAAGAGCAAAACTTGAAAAATTAAAAATAATAAAAAAAATAAAAAACTAGTGGAGAGTTCTGTTATATTTGTCTGTGTGCAACATAAGTTTAGATTTTGGATTAGATTTTCAGACATAGATAGGGACATGAGAGGAAGTCAAATTGAGAAGGTTCCAACTCAAACAAACGAGGATGGGAAGAAGAGCGGATATGCTTAGGTGTTCCATGAGTTATTATTATCTAATAATTTTCGTCTTGTCTTTTTCTTTGACACGTTAATGTTGTACCTTACATGTCATGATACGTGTAAGAGAAATAATGAGTTTGGATATCTTATGTTAATTTAATTAATAAATTTTAAAATATTATTTATGATTATTCAATAAATTTAATAAATAAAATAAATTTATTCAATATTTATAATCATTTATTAAGATAAACAAATAAAATCAAATTTATTCAATATTTATCGATTTATTAATTTTTTAGCTTACAAACGGAAGAAGATCGTTGAAAGAAGAAGGTTTTGAATAGATTTAATAATTTTAAATATAATATAACAATGTGATATAAAAATAATATAATTTAAAATTTTAATAAAATTTATAAATAAATTTTATAAAATAAAAAATATATATTTTATATTTTTATATAAATATAAGTTATGGTATATAATTTTTATATAAAATATAAATTTTTAATATTTTACTTCATAAACGACAAATTCTAATGTTGAGACAGAATGGGTCTAAGGATGCTGAGGATAGGCATTGACATTTAGCCAACAGAGCTGGTTAGCTCATCTCTGAGTGCTTTAACTATGTTTGATTGTGGCTTTTTAACTAGGAAAAGTCTGACAAAACAAATCCAGATCCTACTATGTTTATCTTCACTTCCTCTTCTACAGCTCTTATCTACACAGCTATCTCTTTAGGACAATTAATGAATAAAACAAAATAAAATTTTGATTAATTTTTAATTTTTAATAATATTTTTTATTTTTTAATAATTTGATCCAAAAAATAATTAAATTAGGTGATTGAAATTATTTAATAATAAATTACTATATTTTTTAATATTTTATATTTATTTGATTTTTAAAAGTTTTTAATAATATTTATAATTTTAAAAATTTATTATAGTTGATGAGCATTTTATATTTGAGATTTCATTGTATTAGATTAATCTCATTTATTTGATATTTGAAAATCTTTTTCATATATATGTAGAAAAAAAATTTTAAATAGGTAAATTTGAAGATGGTACATCAAAATATATCGATATCTATACGTAAACAATACATCTAATGTACAATATTGATTAGTTTAATTAAAATTCAATTCGTTAATAATTTAGTAATTTTTGGAGTTAATCGTGATTTTAGCACAGTGAAAAATATTTTGTTGAATGAAATTTAAATAAAAAAAATATAGAAGCATTCATCTTCGAACCTTAAATTTCTTAATTTTGCATTCTAACCTAAATCTTTAGCCGTAAAATATTTTCTTTTGATATTTGAAATTATTAAAAATTAAATTTAATCATTAAAATTAAAAATATAATATTTTATCGATAAATCACTTCACTGGTAAAATATAAGAGTAAAACATATTAAGTAATCTCACTTGGGTCATATGCTTGGTATAGGGCTCTAGTGGATAGGGTTAGGTTGGCCCAAAGTGGCCTGTTACCATTGGCATGAAGTGGCCCAAATCTTGAATTAAATTGCATGATGAACCCTTAAATTCAGCACTTGTTAAAGATGAAAGATTGTATATATGTTGTAATATTCACAATCATCCCAAAAAAATTTTAGGGTTGGTGCTATTATATTTGGGAATTGAAATTAGAAATAAAATATTTTTAAATGATTGATAGTGGTTTGATTTATTATTATAATAATATTAAATTTTAATTTTTGATAACCTCAATTATATAAAATAATTTCTTTCAAATTATTTTCAAGCTTAGAGCGTTTATTATAAATTAGAGAACTTGGGATGGTTGTATACTATACACACATCCTTCACCGTGTGTCACTATATTTACTGACGATACAAAATCTGTCAGTAAAATTGAAAAACCGTTGTTTTAGATCAATAAAATATGTATACTGACGATAAAGATGGTTATTTTGAAAAAAAAAAAATTATGTTGGTATAACCCTCGTCGATATAAAATTATAACATCGAAAATTTGACTGTTGCAAACTTGCAATAGCACTTTATCATATACGGAACCGTTGGTATAACTATATGAAAAATCAACGAATTCTCACAATTTATACCAACCAAACCACCTCTCTATCGTTATAAATCTATTTGTCAGTAAACCCTTTCTCATCCGTTGGTATCGACGAAGTTATAAATACTTCAAAAAATTTAAAAAAAAAATCAGAAATAATTGCATATTTATTTTGTACTAAATACATAATTAACTACAGTTCAGTCTTATTCATCGTTTGGCTGCATATAAGTTCATAAACTAAATTGCTTGAGATAGATTGAACTCCTAAAATGAAAGTAATTTTTTTTTTTGTGAGAAAAAGTTTAGAGTGAGAGAAAGTTTTTCTAATCCAAGATCAGGGCCACCATTGGTAATAGTAATCCCAAAGTTTTTGAAACCTCCTTTGGCACGAATATATATTTATATTAAACTAGTTTTAAACCCGTGATGCATAGAAATATATTAATATATCAATAAGTTTTATATAAATATAAAATTTTTTAAATGATAATATAAGTTATGAAGTTTATGAATAACCCATAACTTATATAATCATTTTTATTTAAATTTACATATTTTAATATAATAAAACAAATTAATTACATATTGAATGTGCTTATGTAATTATCATCAATTCTAAAAAAAAAAAATCAAATTATAATTTATTGAATCCAAATAAGTTCTAAATAAAAAACAATAATATTTTCGATTTCAAGAAATTAAAAATTTTGTCTTTAAAATCAATTTCGCATACAAATTTTTTTCATAAAAGAGTCTTTCATAAATTGTTGTTGAAGTGAAAATGCAACAATTGATTTTTCAGTATTTTAAAGTAAAATGTTATTTTATTTAATGAACTAATAGATTTCACAAATAGAGGTGAAAATATAGATAGAACAGTAATCTGTAATTTAACAATAGTTGAGTTATAATCTAGGCTATATAATTTTATAACAAACATAATTATTGTAATAAATTTATACATATCTCTTCCAATTATATTTAACATTCAAGCTTATGATTAAAATTATACACCTTATTTACTGTAAGTTTGATACTACTTATTTCAATATTATAATCGGTTGTCCTCGTCTCGAATACACAAATTTTACCTATGAGATCTTCAAATATCTTTTAGATCTTACAATCTCTATTTTTCTAATTCATAAGTATTAATATATCATTCAATTAATTTAAATATTAAATAATATTAAAATAAATTTTAACTAAATACCTTAATAGATATTTCATAAAGATAGTCAATATCTCTATTAATTAAATCTTTAGTTTTTGTATTAAACAGTACAAACATCAACCTTTTAAAATTATCATATGCTTCAATATTCAACTTGTACCTATAAAAAATGCAAAGCTCTACAATTATAAATATAATATAATAATTTAAAATACTTTTATTATCATAATAGAATAATTAATTTTGTATGCATCAAATATAAAAAATATAAATACTAAGTACTTTGGGGTTGGATTAGGGACATCAACATCGTAGGAATAGCATTGAAATTTTCTATCAACTTTAGATAGTTTATTGTTACACCCACATGACATATAGTACCAACAAAAAATGATATCAACTTTTATAATAGTGACTCTACTGGTGAAAGACTTTTCCTATATATATATACAGTAATCTTTAAATCGATCATCAACAAAAAAAAAAGAAAGCTAATATCATAGTTAAAAAAATATAAAATGTAAGTATAAAAGGAGAATAATCTTTGAGCAATACAGACCAAAAAATGATGCAAAATAAAAATTATAGAGAAAATTGAAGTAGAGTTTAGTAGATATCAAAAGATATAAAATGAATGAAAAGTAATTAAAGATGTATTATACTTAACCTAAAGCTATTTATACAAAAGGCATGTTGTAGGTTAATTAATAAGATAATTTTAAATTATAAAAGTTAATATTGAAATATTAAAAATTATAAGTGAATAATGGTCTAACAATGGTAAATTGATTGATATTGAAATATTTTATTTTGTCATTAACATTTATAGATCCCCTACTTTAGAACAATAAAATAAATTAAATTTATTGTATTTAATAATTAAAATAAAACAAATTAAATTTTAATTAAATCAATGTGCATTAATATCTAGATTTTAAATTTATAAAATGTTACAAATAAAATCAAATGAAATCCATGTGTATTAATATTTTATCAAATGGAATTAAATGTGCATTAATATTTTACCAAATGAAATCATGTTTAATAAAATATAAATCTATCAATCAAATATAAATTAATAAAATATTTTATTCCATTAATTTAATTATGGAGAAATAATTTGATATATTTGCTTTCTATATTTACACATTAAATATATCAATTACTCAAATGGATACTATATTTAATCAAATATAAATGTAACAAATAATTTATTAGATAATCAACTATTTTATAATTGTAATCGTAGTATTTATTAAATTATTAATTATATATTGATTGATTTAATTTGTCAAATTAAGAAATTTTTTAAAATTTTAATACTTCTAATATGAATTGAATTAAGACTGATTTAAAGTCAATAGTAAAAAACATAAATATAGTCAATTAATAAAATAATTTTAAATTACAAAAATTAATATTGAAATAATAAAAATTATGAGTGAATAATGGTATAAAAATGGTAAATTGATATTAAAATATTTTATTTTATCATTAACATTTAGAGATCTCTTAATTTAGAATAATAAAATAAACTAAATTAATTAGATTTAATAATGGCAATAAAAAAATTAGATCAACGTGCATTAATATCAAATAATAAAATTATAAAATGTTACAAATGAAAAAAAAATGAAATCAATGTGCATCAAACTAAGAAATTTTAAAAATTTTAATACTTTTAATATGAATTAAATTGAGAGTGATATAAGATTAATAATAAAAACATAAATATAATCAATTTAATTTTTTGAATTATTTTTAAATTAAAAATGTATTAAATAAAATAAAA